ACCAGCTCATCTTCGTGTGCCTGGAAGAAGGACATAAGTGCCTAGGCCCTTTTGCTGGGAAGCATGATCAATTTAAAAAACTTTTCCTGGCAAAAGGATGTATGTATGCAGCTGTTTTATTTCAATGAAATATAAAGATTTCTTCACAAAAAGATTACAAATAAATTTCCCAAGTCGTTTAATAAGTTGTTCAGTGGTTGCTTTTTGTACAGCCTGTGTTGATTTTGTAGTAAATTTTATCCATTTTGACTAAATAAAGAGAGTGTGTTTCCTACGCCATTTTGCCAGGGAACAGTTTTTCTGCTGTGATTATGCTTCCTGGCAAAAGGGTGTAAGCAAGCTTACATGTACGCCCTTTTGCCGAGCACATGTGTACATGTACATCTAGAGTATGACATGGTCAAGGTACATGTACCTTTGATACATGTAGAGATCCCTGCCTTGCCTCTGTAAAACTTTTTAAAAGAGACTCAGAATTGTTCAAAATTTTAAACAGGGAACATGTTTCTATACATTTACAAAAGTTGAGTACATTCTTCTTCTCTCCATGACAGATTGAAGTATAGGCATGCCAAATATTAACTACCGGTAGGACCAAAACTGAAAAGAATATCATACAAAATAATAGAACATCGCTTTGCTGTCTAAAGAGGGCGCTGTTTGCCATTGCAGTGTCTCTTGTGAAGCTTCTCATCTGGTTTCTTTACTACACATGTAGGTGTATGGAAATCTGTTGTGGCGCCCTCTGCTGGATAATTTCTGATTGTTATTTTCCTTGAAGTACTTTTGCATTTCATCATGTTTGTCTCCATCCTTTTCCATTATTTCCTAAATGTAAGGCACATGACTAATTTCCCAATTTGGGAATTTCAAAGTCTGGAAATGATTGCAAATGGCACCAGGGATGGAAATTGAGTGTATTTTTTTTGGCAGGGCATCTACTTAAGCTGTCAAGATTGATCAGTGAGTGTGCACGCACATGTACTGGGGTTGATACTGGATGGTTTTATGGCATAAACTATCAAGATGAAGATAAGTCACTTTACATCAAATTCAGAATTGTGAATTTGTATGCCAATTTGAAGTACAAGTTCACAAACTTTCTGTCACTTCCTAGTCAGTGCAGACCCCTCTTGGTATTCGTATAATGCACAGATTTCCTTTGCTAACATGTATCGGTACATATACGGTACATGCAAATGTACACATATGTATGCACATTACACAAGGATTTTTATGGGAGAGACAAGCAGTGTACATTTGATGGCATGTGGTAGCTTTAATGTCAGCCTGTAATATCTGACAGTGATGAAATGAGTGTACAGGTGTACCATACTCAGGTTTACTAGCACTAACAGGGTGTCTGGATTTATGTGCGATGTACATGTACCCCCTTGGGGCGAAGTCTCTCCATAATCAGACCATCTCGGAATCACTTTTCCAGTGCTTTGGGAATCCAGGTAGACAAGACAACATGCAGACCAGGCTGCCTGAGCAGGATACAATGTGCCTGCATTCAATTTGAATACCTACGGGTACTTGGAAGATTCATACAATTTAACTACAGTTCTCGTTTGTTTTGGCTTTGCATGGCCACCGCTCGTTGAATGAAGAAACTCAAAATGGTATTGAGTAAAACTGTTCTGGGCAGTATGGTACGGTACATACATGTACATGTAACTCTGCAGCATGAGATCTGAAAAAAAGTGTTGGTATCATAGAGGTGTATGTACATGTACCGGTACATTCACGAATGTTAATTGACTTGTCAGTTGACATTGCTGAGAAATCGGTGGTACAGGTACGGTACATGTCCATGTACAATGTACCGGTTCTGTATGTGTACATGTGTGTACAGTTCATGGGCATGTACATTTGTACGACTTTTGTACATGTACATGTTGCAACAAGTCCATGTACATGTACATGATCTACAGGTATTAAGGGAGTGTTTGTTGTCGCGCACTTAATGTCGAGTACTGAAGTGTGACGTCATCTTGAGCCTTGGAGTGTCAAGCAAACGAATGGAGTGCGTGCGCACACGTTGATTCACACGTCAATGCCTTTTACATGCATACATGTACATACATGTAGTTATGCTCATGACATATTCACTTTAAAATTATTTTAAATGAAATGTTACATAGACATGTTGGGTTTAAGTTAAGGCTTTGACATGGACAAATGTCAAAAGTGAGGCGATGCTGTCAGCTGAAGGTTGAAAATGAAATATTATTCTGGAAAAATTTCACTTCATTTACATGTACGTAAGTCCTCACAAGATTTGAGGTGATGAGCTCACATGAAAATGCCCTGCTGCCTCATCACAGTCATAGGCATCGTAAAGTCACTGCTTTTCAGCTTTGGGAATCTTCTGGTACGGCATGTTGTGCTCACCTTCTAGAGTCTTCAACACGATAGCTACCTAACGTTTGCTTGGGATATTTGAATGACAAATGCTGTATTTGATGCACCTGTCAGTGAAGTTATTCACCAGTGGCCACTTGGTTACATAACAATTTTCTTAATGTCAATATTTGATTTCCCTATTGACATTTGAATTTTGTATTGTGATATTGACATGGCTACATGTAGGTGGACTTTTGCTGAGGCTTTATCCTGTTGTGAGGACATTTGGTTGGCCTATTGACATTTGAAGTGCCTAATTTGACATTCCGCCTAATACTGTGGATATTTGCCCTGAAAAACCTGTAATAAGTCATTAGAAGATGATACCTTAAACAGTGTACAGTACATAACACGCATAGTGTACAACGTAAAATTTACCCTAAATTTACCCTCATACCACATGACCCACATGAGGCTACAGCGGCACCGTACATGTAGGGATGTACACTTTCAAGGGATTCAAATGATTGCAGATGGTTGTTTTTCTGTCTTCAGGCCTAAGTTTTATAGTGGTGCCAGTTGCACTTTGAAAATAAAGCAAAAAGCTCTGAATGAAATTCAAACAAAGTTTTGCTTACATATACATGTATATCGTTGGCATGACAAACAAAAGAGCTGAACCTCTTTAAATGTAACTACATTGTATCTACTCAGTTTTTGAATCAGGGATTGAATAAAAATAATGTTGGGGTTCCGTAGGAATGCAGATAAACAAATCTAATACTGCCGAACCACACCAACACTGAGCAGCGCTTATGACTGTAAAACACATTGCAATCCCTCCTGTTGCCCAGGGTGTGCCAAGTGCCCCATCCTAGAGGATGTAATCCCCTGACAACCCCCTTCCCCGTCTCTGTTATTGTACCTTATAGAGAGTTAAGCAGTTTGCCTTAATACATCACCAGTTTGGGGATCCCACAGTTCCCCCCCCCAGGGGTTGTTATCGTTCTGAATGGGCTGTTTTGTTGCTCTTTTTTCTGTCCTTAGGTGACCCATCCATTTCTGGCTGACATGCCGATGACATGGACTGTACATGTATGCAGCTATTGTAATAATTGACTGTTCATTTGGTTAGATCTCTTGTTCAGTTACAGAAAAGCCCAAAGGGCGGTGCATTAATGTCCAGATCTGACTTTTTTTGGTGTGTTGAGATGAATGATTGATGGTCTTTTCACTGAAGTACTGTACCTGCGCTGTCATTTTTGGTGAGGCTATGAGATGTGAAAAACGTCCTGTGAACACTGAAAATCAAATTCACAGTAATGATTTTTTTTCATATTTGGTGGTAACATTGTATAATATCATGTGCTTCTGCTGGTGGGGAGAGGCATGAAAAAAACAGTGGCAGAAAAAGAAATTCTCTTTCCTGTGATTTAGACGTGGACATTAGAATGCACAATGTTCATTGCGCACAAATTATTTAATATGCGTAGAAGTTTACATTCATGTACGACGTGAAGACAAGACAAATTGTACATGTACAGGGAACCTGATATGGCATTACTAAAAAGGCATTCCAAACAAAACCAATGAAGCTTTAACAATGTGCCATACATGTATGTGCAATTCATCACTGGTTTTTGGAGAGTTGGAAATGTCATTTTGTTGAGATTTTTACATGGTGTGCATCCACTGGAAAAAAACAATGACAGATACTGTAAGTCTGTATGCCACATGGGAGCTTACACCTGCCACTGGTGTTGTGCAAGGTACAGGCACTTGTCAGTGTTAGTGTTCCATTGTTTACATGTCCCCATGCTGAGGTCATCTGTGTTGATGGTCAGTCGCTGGCCATCAAGTCAGGATGGTCAGTGGTCACTTGGTTGGACTGTTCAAAAATAGGGTTTGACATTTGTCTTTGGTTTCATTTGTGATGTGCGTGTACGTAACTTTAGTGACCTTTTCAGTAGGATCTGAGTGTCAGGTGTTACACACGTGAACACTTTGACGTGTATGTTACAGTTAAACTGTGACATTCCACTGAATTGGATGATACGTATTGTCAACATCGTTCCTTTGCAGAGTGTGGTTTTACCGACAAAATCTGCGCTTGTCTATTGCCACATTCAAATAGAATTGAATCAGCAGGTTTTGTGTTCATGCCCAAAATGGGGGTAACATGCATACAGTACGGAGCAGTTGATTAAGTACATGTGAACATTGCAAAGTTGCCAAAGTAATAGATTGAATTACCTTCAGAAATATTAGTTTGTTTTGGACAAGATGGATCGCACATAGATTCTTCAGTGTACACGTATATCATGCCGAAACAAAATGATGGCTCTGCCGCTTGAAGTATCAGTACCCATTCTGCAGATCAATACAACAGTAAAAGCCAGCCCTTTGATTTAATGATTTGGCCTCTTCCATTGTGGGCTGAGGGGAAGAACCCTTTATAGAATCAGGGGCTTATCTGGCCCTTGGAATGACAAACTTTGATGTAATAATTGGTACATTGGGTTAGAAGTAACAAAGGACACTTGACACTATGTCACCCCCCCCAGTCATATTCAAATGAGGCATCCTGACTGTGCCAGGTTCGTAGGGTATGTTTACACTAGCCAGCTAGGTTTGCCTGTCAAACTGCGTTCCTCACCTCTGCTGAATAGTGAACAGTGTGTGTCGGTGCATTTCCAAGCAGGAGTGGTGAGTCCATTCACCGACAGAATAGAATACACATGTGCATTATGGATGCCTCTGTGTGTATGTGCGCAGTGTGGATAGTGAGATTGGCATAATCAGAGAGGTCTTGGGGAATGAATCCCCATTAGCCTCTGGAGATTCGAGTGTTACACACTGTACCTCAGTGCCTCGCAGATGATGACGACGAGGACGATCAAGATATTCATTGGCACTTGAGCATGTGCAGTGCTTGCCGAGTGACAGGGCATTACCACGAGTCCATGTATTTCATACCATTCATGTTTGCCCCAGTGACACCTGCTGGCGATTTCTGAATGGACAGCGTGCCGTGGCCGGCATTCACGTCCCCTCCGCGTGTGTGTACTGCCAAAGGGGTTTTTTTTTAATCACGTTAACCGAGCATCAGCGGACACAAATGGAACGCCTGTGCTAAGCGGCTCATAGCTGGTCGTGCAATTTTGATTTATAATTATTAGTTTTTTATTATTGGGCTGGATGCCGCATCGGCCTTCCTCCATTACCATGAGCTTTCGCAGGAAGAAGAGGAACAAGCAGCTAAGAAAGGCGAGATGCTACAGTGAGATTGACTACGGTAAGGCATCTAGTCATGGTTGTCAGATGGTGTGTAATGCCTTCTGTATGCACAACACTTTCTCAATGCACACGTACACATACATACACGTACATGTACGTGTATGTACCATGGATATTTAATTGTACATTTTGTTTTGTGTAATATTACATGCCTAAGGAAAGAACAGAGTAGTCATAGTTTACATGAGTTTTTTACACATGTTAGTTTTTTTTTACATACCACACATGTACCAGAACATGTATTGGTAGTGTACCGGTAGTTGGACCATGTCTGCTGTTCACCACTCTTCAGTTAAAAATCTTAGCACTTACTTGTACCAGGTGTGCATTATCTGACCAAGGAGGAAGGACACAGAAGGAGTTTGAACTGCCCAGGCTATAACATCTGGCCAATTACCACTTTCTGGCATGCCCGGTATGTCCATAGCCGGAGTGCAGCACGTGCTTGCTACGCACCACCTGTTTTGCAACCATAAGCCCTCTTTGTACCCCATCATTGCTGCAATGAAAATCTACATCCCTAAAATGTTGTGTACTGCAGTATACTGGTAGGAAGTTGAATATTCATGCCATCGTTGGTGCTTGATATGATCTGACAACAACATCAAATTCAGTGCTTGCACAGTTGCTTTCATTAGGCCGTGTAGTGTGTACCCCAAGTGTTCATGTGCAGTTGTTGCCCTTATCAAACGCTTTCTTCTGGACTTCTTTTGGGAATAAATAGCCAAGCTGTTTGTAAGATTTTGAGTTTTATTTGAATCATATTTATCACGGAATTTACACTAAAAGGTATCTTATGAGATCTCATGATCACTCCCTGTGATGAAACAGCGCATTTTGTTTTTCGTGAAGTTAACTGTCCTGTGGTATTCAACATGTTGTTGGCCAGTCTTAGCCAGACTCCTACAAAGATTTTGAAAACTGATGTTTGGAGTGACAAAATAAAATTACAAACATATGCATGGATAATGGAAAAGGGCATCAAAATCTTTAAAAAAATATTCCAAACGACAAATGTAAGTCTAATGTTAGATATTTTTTCTTTCTGTTTCCTTGTCACTGCGATAAGTTGTATTTAATTCCAGAGAAACCACCTCAAATATTGTTACAATGTTACTTGCCCCACTTGTCCGGCTAAGCTGCAGGCAGTAATCAGGCATTTTTGGAATATTTACTATTGTTCGTCTGACCGGGCGGCGATGATCATCGAGCACTTTGATGTGCCAGAGTTGTAACTCCTTCTGTATCCTTCCTCCATGATCTGACTACTCTGTAATAATTCAATTCAGTTGACTTAAAAGCTACTAGTAACCCACAAGTTTGCAGTTGTTTTGTTAAATAATTATTTCTTCCTTTTTGATTATGTTTTGGATGGATGAATTTAATGGCTGATGTTTCTTCTGTCATGCTCACTGATTTTACAGAAGGTTTAATTGACGACAGTCTGTCGTGAGGTCATCAGTAGAAAAGGATATTTATGATGCATCCTGTCATTTTGTTTTAACTAAAAACAGACTGAATGGTTCGCTTCACTGGCTCTTTTGTGGAATAGTTTCGTTACGTTGAAGATTTTTTCTGCGAGATATTTTTGAGTCTTGTGTGCCTTCTGAAAGGAAGCCCTAATTTTCTCAAAGTGGTTTCTTTCATGAAAAGGGAAAATCACCGAATTGATTGACTAACCTAGTAACTAATAATCCCTCTTTTGTGGGAACAAGCCACAGTCACTTGAGCTCAGTGTTTTGAGTGTCCATTTTGTCACCAACAAAGATCACGTGGGCGCTCCACAAAGTGCATTGGTGTACAGTACATGTATGTGTAGGTGTAGCTCTGTGGTATTCCAGTGTTGTGGTGGACAGAGTGACCAAGCCTGGTTGGAATCCAGTGGTTGAATGTGTTTGCTTTATGCACAGAGCAAGGTTACTCTATGCTTTGTGCCAACCTCTCTTTACAATGACCTTGTTACTGTGACACCTGTCATTGCAGGGGCTTACTCAACTGGGGTTCATATTTCAGGAATTAAACTTTCTCATTGAACTTGATAGATAGTTGTACCACATGTTGCAATTGCTTAGTGCTGCCCGAGTTGTGTGGAACATGTTTGTGCCTGTCGCATTTCCCCCAGGAATTTTTTTGAATAATTAACTCTGTGCTCTGGTGGATGCGGTTGAGGCTCAATATTTTTCAAATTCTTTTTTACACCGTGTATTACATACATGTGCATATTGCACTGTGCCATTATTGAAGCAAAATTTGAATGTTTTTCTCCCATTTTAAGATACAGATAATAGCATTTGGTTTTAGAATTTTTGATTCATGTTAAATAAAAAAGGTACTGGTATAGGGGTAGATACTGACACCATTTATTCAGTATTTCTGAAAATTTGTCCCCCAAATTAGTTTTGATTGTACAGGTGTAAAGATCTGTACCTTCATAAATGTTAATGTAGCACTGCACGTCTGGATTTTGTTTTCTTTTCACATGTCTATACATGTACTGTATGTGCAGTACAGTGCATTCTCACTGTACCTACATGTACGTCATGTGTAACCAGTCCTTATTAAAAAGACAAACTGGAACATCATGCTAAGTGTTAGTTAGGCATCATGTGGGTTAGAATGGGGCCAAGTTGGATCAGCGACCACTGGCCAGCCTGTGCTCGATTTTGCTTGGTATCCTACCGGTGTGTATGATAGATATCTTGGGGACCAGACGAAATCAACCAGTGGTTGGGCTGACAAATAACCTGTGATCCAACTTGCCTCCAGGCACTGCACAGAAATTTGTAGCAGTTGGAGAGCAAATGTGCAAGTGCTGGCATGGGTTCTCAACTCTTATATGTAACTGATAAACCTTACCACTTGCCAGCACTGGTTTGAGATAACAGTGCCATATTATTGTCATCAAAAAGCCACTGATAGTCGGGTAGTACTCCTTGTACATGCACACCATGCTGACCTTCTGGAGTGCCTGCCTAATATCAACAAAACCTGAGGCACCTGTTGACATAAATGCCGTTGCAGAAATCTTTGAAAGTTGCCCACAGAGTTCAATTTTTGAAAAGATTGTATTTGTTCCATATGCAGCCTTGTTCCCTATGCTGTAAAGTAATAGCCAGATAAGCATTGATTTTTTTTTTGGCTAAATAGAATTTCCAAGATAAAGCTGAATTTGTCTCTCAGAAAGTATTTTTGAGTTACAGAGCACTTTTTGTTTATGCAACAGTATTTTATGTCAAAACACATAGCACTTTCGTTTACAGAACCAGCAGATCCAGGCAGAGAAAAAGTCCAGTGTTCATATACCGGTACTTTCAAAACCCAAAACAAAGTGTGTACTTGACTGTGAGAATTTGGGCAGCGCATTGATAGTGGCTGCGGTGCATTGTACACCTGGGTTGTGTTTTGTCACCACTTTCGATGTGCAGGAAAATGCTATGTGCTCATTACTCCCAGATCACATCGCTATATGAACAGCTTTACTGGTACCTTTCTTGAGATAACTACATACTATGCAAGAGTACATGTATATCGGGACCCCCGGCCTGGTTGAGAGTATACATGTACTGTTTCTTTACCCCCATTTCGTACTCCTGCTGTTCAGGCACTTAAGAGTGTACTCATGTCAACATGAGACAAATGGTGACATCCAGTTTTCCTTGGAACTTGTTATGTTCTTCATACATGTTCATGTACATCTGCACACAGATACTTGTAGGTTACAGTGTGTGCCTATATTAATTGAGCAAAATAATCCCCGCATACGTGTACATGTACAGTGCAGGAGATGTAGCAAGTACTATATCTTTATAACACTGCAAATGACAACTTTTAGTTTGTTGGTTTATTGTTAGGTTTTTTTGGGGGGGGTTGGAGTGAATTAAATCACCGATTGCTTGAAAATGATGTTCTGTTCAGGACTGAACGCTTGATTGTTCCCTAAAATGATAGTCAAATGAGGCATTTTGTGTTATTCTTGTCTTCAGAGGGGGAAGTCCCTTGTCAAATTTTCAGAATTTGTGGTTTCCTTTTAAGTTTATATCTATTGTGATTCTTCCTCTTGAAGTGCTTCCTTCCTTTTAACTGCCAGACACCCACATTATGAGGAACTACTATGACAGTCAAGTTGCCACAGATTTTGTCTTTGTCTCTGTTCATCTGCACAGCTGAGCTTTAAAAACACATAGTGTAACATTGGCAGTTGGAAATCATGCAGGCAAATTATTAATCATTGTTACTCCCATTGTTTCTAATTCAAACTAAGCAAAACAATTGTCCTCTCTAAATTGAATTGCTTGTAGTGATCACACTCTAAGTATCTGACAATATGTTGAGTAGTTTCACTTCGTACGTTGTAACCATTTCTTGCATTTTGCTGGCCTTGACGAAAATCCCATAAAAAACTGACAGACTTGACCAAGTGGACATGACCAAGTCTGACGCAAAAATACTGACCAAATAGAAATAAATGGTGAATATTATTGTAATGTTTGGAAATCAAAATCCATGCAGGAGTCATGCTTGTTAAAAATACAATTTAGAAGTCGAATGAAAAGCAAAAAATCAGTAGTTTTACCCAGTGTCCTCTTCTGCCAAATTTAAACTGAGAACTGAAGTTTCTACTGGTACAGGAAATTGATGAAAATCTCTTCTTTTTCTGTTGTCTCAACAAGTTAATCCAGTGGGAGTGAAATTTCTGAATTTGTGGTACATGCAAATGCCACTTTTTACAGCACCATCTGGCCACAACTTTCTCTGACTCGCCCATTCCTCCTACTGCAGCTGTCAGCATCAGGCACATAGACCAGCAATTTATAACCATTCAGCTGCCCTTTGTGCCCGAGTACATGTACATGCAGTTTCTTCATATTATGCACGATTTGTCAGAGGCCAGCCACAACATTCAGTGTCTCTGCAAACAGAAAAGACCTTCCTAGTTCTGTTCGTTATTGACCATGTTGAAGGGTCGTGAGGGCTCGTGTCTTAAGAGCTCTTTAACCA